GAGTGAGGAGGAGAGTGAGGAGGTGAGGAGGTGAGTGAGGAGGAGAGTGAGGAGAAGAGTGAGGAGGAGAGTGAGGAGGTGAGGAGGTGAGCGAGGAACGGTGAGGGGCAGGGAAGGCTCTGTGGCCTGAGTGTGCCTCCCTGCGGGCAGCCAGGCCTGGGAGTCCTCCAGGTGAGGAGGTGGTTGGACCTGAGGCCAGGCGGTCTGCTGGCAGGAGAGCTGCCTCTCTGATGCCTGGGGGCCCTCTGGCAGCCCTGAGGCCCTGGGGGACCGTCTAATGGAGCAGAGCCAAGGGCTCAGGAGGAAGGGATGGTCGAGGGCATGGGAAGCCGTGGGAAGTCCCTGGGAAGGTGGGCAGGTGTGGGGTCCACTGGCCAAGTGCTTCCCGGCGTGGCCTGTTGGCGCCTGAGGAGTGTGACCGGCTCCTAGAGCACCCGTCAGGGCTCCTTCACGTGCCTCCTCATTGGGGTCTCCTTTCCCATGGAGGGACGTGGGTGTGGGGGGGCCCAGGCCTCTCCTGGCCGTGGGGACACCCCTACCCAGATGGCACTGAGCGCAGTCTTGCCGGGAGCCACTGATTCTGTTGGTTTTAGCTAGTCCAAGGAGCGGCTGAGCCTGGGGACCAGCGCCCAGCCTCAGGGAGCAGGCCAGGCAGGCCCTGCTCGAGGGCTTGGGAACCATGCTGATCCCAACAGAGAGGTGCCGCCCAGCTGAAGCCGCGTCCCCAGGGGAAAGGAAGGGAGCTTGGCGTCTGGGCTCTCTCCTTCCAAGGCCCAGTGGCCACCGAGCCCCAGATGGCCAGGTGGTGGCACTGTCATGAACCTGCCAGGGTGTTGGGCTCAAACCCCAGGTCTACACGGTGGCTCTCTGAGATGCCCCCTTCTCTCCCTGGCGAGGGAGCCCCAGGAAGCCTCCGGCTCAGGGGGACGGGAACAGGCCGTCAGGTTCCTGTCCAGGGTGGCATGCTCTTGGACCACTGCTAAAGACAGCTCAAGCACACCCAGATTAACAATGGAACCACAGGGCTCTGGGCACATCCCAGCCACTCCCTCGCCCTACACTTGCTGCGTCCCCTCAAGACACAGCAGAACACTTCTGTGAAGACGCACCATGTTTCCTGCTTAGAAAGACAAGATGAGCTGAGAAGCACTTACCCACGCAGCGTAAGGAAACCACTGTGTTTGAGGAGCAGCTATCACTGAAAGAGAAGAGGGGAATTCTGTCACCTGATAAAGGAGGAGATGCCTGGCCCGCAAATACTCAGAAATGAGATTTCCTCCCCCTGTTGTCTCTCCTGTCTCCCCAGAACAAAAGTGTCCACCCCCGAAGGCTTCAGAAAGACGACTAGATCTACAAAAGGGACAATTTTTAAAAGGGTCAAAGTACCAGGTCAGATCTCGGCTGTTCAGTACTGAGCAAGTTCCTTAAACCTCCTGTTCCTAAATTCCTCACGGGAAAAATAACATGATCACGCAGGTTGAGCATCCCTCATTTGAAAACTGAAATCAGAAATGCTCCAAATTCGAACCTTTTCAAACAGCTCCTTGGGAGCACAGTGGAAAATTCCTCGGCATCTGACCCCATGGGATGGGTCACCGTCCAATGCAGGCCTATCAAAACTGTCACCTCAAGTCACCCTCAGCCCAGGTGCACAAGACACAGACAACTCCATGGGTTTCGTGAGTAGACTTTGACCCCGTCCTCAAGTGGATCACTGCAGACATGCAAAGATTCCGACTGGGAAATCTGAAATGTGGATCACTGTGGTGCCAGGCTTCTCAGACAAAGGTACGCAACATGCAGGGCCAACCCAGCTGGCCGGGAAGGGAGGCCCGCGGAAGTGATGGTGTCCCTTTTGTTCTTGCAACCCAGGCCACCTGCTAGTGACAGGAGGCTATTCACTGGGAAACGTGCCTTCAGATGGTGGCACCGCGTGTGCCGAAGGCAATATGACCCATGCTCGGCCTGGCAGCAGGAAAGAGCCACTTGTCCAGAGTCAACGTCCTTGGTTATGGACGACAAAGAAAGAAGGGGTGCCTTCCATCCCTGTCCAATAGAGAACGGTCCCCATACACTGAGGAGGGACACCAGAGCTGCGCCAGCACTGACCACTGGGTGTGGGTTCCATTGGACAAAATCTGTTTTGCAGTGACCAGACCACTCTGATGGACACGGAGCAAGACACTCACCCCTGCCACGATGTGCCTAGACGCGGCAGGGACCTGGCCCAAGGCACACACATGAGCCGGCCTCGGGAGGCTGGCAGCCACAGTGTCACCAACACAGCCTGAGCCTCGTGCGTTCCAGCTCCCTTGGAGAACCGCACCAAAGGCAGCGCGTCCCCGAACCCCACACTGCCTGGCACTGCCCCAGCCTAGAGCCGCCCAGGTGCCCGCTGGGTGCCCTGGCCACGACAGCTGAGGGGCACCAGAGAGGCCACACAGAGGCAGACTCCTGCTAGAGGGAGACGCTGCCTGAGGACCCTAAGGTCCACGGGTGCCACCACAGGCAGCAGCACCTGGGAACACGGTGGTTATTCAGGGGACCTGGCCAGGAGCCACCTGGAGACTCAAGCTTCATGGGCGGCTCTGAGGGACCCCACCTGAGCCTGCCGTGCCGACGGGCGACACTCTAGACAATGACCTTCTCTTCTTTCCTCCAAGCCTGGCAGCCACCTTGCGAGTTCCCAGGGCTCTTGCCAAGAGATGGCAGCTTCTCCCCTCCCCTGCTCTGCCCGCCCCCGGGTGCCTGGCTTTTCCTGGCTGCCTGACTTCCGTGTAAGGGAGGAACACAAAGAACCGCCGGCATGTGCAGAGCAGGCAGCTGTGTTTGGCCCCGCTGTGTGGACGGTCCACCTGGCTTGCAGGCGCAGCCCTGCCCCGGTCCCAGGACAGCAAGGCTGCGGCAGAGGTCACGCCCCACCCCACCTCGGACAGAGCCACCAGCCACACACACCAGTGCCCACCTCCACACAAGGAGAAGTGGGTCACCTCGGAGCTGGAGGCTAGGTGACAGCGAACCCCTGGGGACAAATGACAGGACCTGGGGTTGAGAAACCTCATGTGCAAAGCACACTGCACCCTCCAGGATGACAAGTGTTCTGATAAGAGCAGGGGCCTGCAGGGGACTGGCAGAGGGGTGGCCAGTCCCTCCCTGCCCTCCTGGCCAGTGCAGCCGCTGTTAGTGACTGCCCTGGAGCTCCCTGCCACCCATGGTGCCCACCGTGACCTGCCCAGGGTCACAGCTTAGCCTTGGGGTGCAGGAAATATTTGCTAAATGGAACTAGCCACCTGTGCCTGGCCCCTGCTGTGACGGACCCGACCCTGAGATGTTATTCTCGTGGATTCCTGCCTATGGACTAAATGTGATCTGTCCCCAGACTCATCTGCAGTCTTACGTTAGTGGCATTAAGAGGGCAGGAACTTAATCCAACTATGGTGTTTAAAGATGGGGCCCTTGGAAAGTTTAGACTAGATGAGGTTGGGGTGGAACCCCATGCTTTAAACCTGGTGGCTGTATAAGGAAGTGGAAGGAGACCCACAAGACAGGTGCTCCCCTCGTGAGGTGATGTGGCACAAGGTGCCCTTGCCAGAGCCTGTGCCACACTGTTTGGACCTTCTACTTCTAGAGCCATGAGCCAAAATAAATCTCCAGTCTTTATAAAATAGTCTGCTCAAGTGTCTTGTTATAGTAACGAAAAGGTAACAAATGCATATTCCCTAGCATATGTACGTACACCTCTGGTACCTGGAGAATGAAAAAAAAAATCAACTACCAATAACAGGGCGGACAGCAGAGGTCACAAACAAAATGGCAAATAAGTGTCAATCTCTTCCCAAGAAGAACGAATCTGGAGCAGCCTGTCCTACTTAGCTTCCAACCTCTTCCCGGTGTGGAACTCATCCACACCCAGAACAGCAGCTTAGAGAGATCAGCTTGCGACAGTGATGCCCGGGGGCCCCCTGTCCTCACCACCACCCTCGACAAGGGAAAAACACCTGTGGTAGAGCTTTTTATAGAGATCGACGGTGACAACGCTCGCGTTCAGCTTCATGAAGCTCGCGGCTCCGCTGTCGTCCGCGATCCCCCGCGTGGAATAAAAGCTGTTCCTAAAAAACAAAAGCCTCCGTAAACAGCGTCACCTCAGAAGCCTTCGTGAGTCCCAGGCAGCACTTCCAAGCCGTGCGCCAGCAGAGGTGGCGCTCTCCTGCCGGATGGGACCTCGCTCTGGAAACTGGCAGGGGACATACCCTAGGACGGCCGAGGGCCACAGGGCTCCCCGGAAGAGAAGGTGGCCTCAGAGCACAGAGCCTTCCCCGCCCCGAGGGCCGCCCTGCCTCCCCAGGGACCCAGGTCCATCTCCTCCAGGCCCACGCTGAGATGGGTCCCTGGGGTAAGTGTCCAGGGGAGGGGGACCTGGAAGGGGCATGTGAGTCAAAATCCTCCCTGGCAAAGGGACTGATGCCTACGGGGGGGGTACTCCTCCTGAGGGTGGCTGTTGGGGACCAACCCCAGCCTCTGTGTCACCCTCTGTCTCACAGGAGCACACTTGCCCATCCGCTTTCCCACCCGGAGGCCAACTGGCCCAGGCCCTCTCCAGGTGCCGGCAGCATGGGGCACCATGGTCACACTTCCGAGCCTCCAGGACATGAGCCAAAATAACCCTCTGCTCTGCACAATTACCAGGCTCAGCTCTTCTGTCACAGCAGCTGAGAACACTAAGACACTGGCCACGCTGCTGAGCCCGGGCCGGGGGTCCCAGCCTGGGACACTCCCTCCTGACCAAAGCCCTCAGTGGCTCCCGCGGGCAGTGAGAGCTGCCTGGGATCTGCCAGGCCACCGCCAGTCCAGCCGTCCTGGCCCTGCTGCAGCGGCTCCCACCCGGAGAGGCGAGCCAAGCAGACTGCGCGCAGGCTGAGCGGCTCCTCCAGAAAAGAGCCACCCGAGGCCCTCAGCCTGCACCCTGCCCGGGCACCACGGCCCCGGGGACCGTTCCTGAGTCACAGCGGTCTACAGCGGCCAGGGAGCTGAGGGGGCGGCCGTGGGCCGGGCTCACTAGACACAGGGGAGGGCGAGCTCTGGAGGCCCAGGTCCACCTCCCCATACATGGACCAGCTTCGGGAGGTGACCATGGTCTCCAGCACCTTCTCAGGAGGCGGAGACGGTCTGCCCTAAGTCTCTGCCATCGGTCACTATCTCCACGTGGGGCCGCCCCCAGGAGGCACCAGACTCACTTATAGCCCATGTCCTTGCAGGCCGCCCTGGCGAAGTGCTCATTCCAGTCATCCTGGCACACGGGGTGCCAGGCCTGCCGCTCCGGCGAGTAGACCTGGAGGATGAAGTTGGGTCCGTAGAGGCGAACTGCGTGAGAAGAGAGCTCTCCTGGGTCCCGGGCAACGGCACCGACCAAGGTGATCCCCTGCCACCCGCGTCCCGCCACCTGACCCGGGCAGCTCTCCTCGGGCACCACGAAGGGGGCCACAATTCTACACAAGAAAACTGGACGCAGTGTTCAGACGCATTCTCACATAAGTGCTCACTGCCCCACGGTCCACAACAGCCCAAAGGGGGCAGCCCAGTGTCCAGCAAGGGAGGACAGGGCAGGCCCAAAGTGTGCGGCGGGCTGACATCTGCTGCAGACGGGAAGGAAGCTGTGACCCTGCCGCGGCGTGGGCGACCCTGAAGGCAGTGCCCTGCCTAAGAGGCCAGTTCCAATGGCCCAGAGAGGTCCTGAGACCGCTAGGAGCCATGGCACGGAGGATGAGTCTAGGAGAGGAAGGAGGGCAGGGGCGGCAGGAGCCCAGGAACCACGTTCTCCATTGACGGTGGATCCTCTGTGGTGGACCACGGCGCACACAGCTGCAGATGTGTAAACACCAGTGCACTGTCCACCTCACGAAGATGATTGTGAGCTACAGCTCAATAAAACTGGGCTTAAAAATAAAGAAATAAGCTGGGCGCAGGGGCCCACGCCTGTAATCCCAGTGGCTTGGGAGGCTGAGGCAGGAGGATCGCAAGATCAAAGTCAGCCTCTGCAAAAAATGAGGTGTTAAGCAACTCAGTGAGACCTTGTCTCTAAATAAAATACAAAATAGTTTTGGGGATATGGCTCAGTGGCCCAGTGCCCCTGGGTTCAATCCCCGATGGCCCCAAAATAAATAAGACAGAGGGTGAAAATTAAGTGTTCTTTAAAGAACTAGCTGACCTCTTGGTGTCCAGGCCCTGGGCTCTGCAGAGCACCCAGGGTGGCGACAAGGACCTGGCATCTAGGGGACTTTAAGTGCCTCCGGATTAATGACCTTGGCCTTGCAGTTTAAAGAAACTGGTCAGCTTTGGGGCACAGTGGAAGCCCTTCCCTGTCTGGCCCATCCCCCTGGAGTGGCCCACCTGGAGCCTGGGAGCCCTTGGTGGGGTGGAATCTCGTGAGAAGGACTGCTGGGTGGGTCGTGGGTCATCAGGAACAACCCTGAGGAGAGTGCTGCATGAGACCCAGCAAGCCCCCGCTGCCGGTGCGCAGTGAAGACGTGCCCAGGGTGGTGTCCACTCCGACGTGACACTGTTCCTCACAAACAGAAAGTGGCCATTGAGCCTCGAAGGAGACGGACGCAGCACTCAGTGCAGGGAGCCCATCTGAAAAAGCCTCAAACTCCTGGGCCCGGGACATTCCGGAAGGGCAGAGCCAGAGACCAATGGGGCCAGAGCTTCCAGGGCTCGACCCCAGGGCAGCCTATTCGGGAGGACGCCACTGTGGCCAGCACGCCGCACTGTGCTTCTGTGGAAACCCACATGCTGTGGGGCGACTCCTGATTCCCCGCTGGGCCTTCTGTGAGCCCAATGCTGCTGGGAGAATGAAGTCACGGGTTCCTTAGAAGGAACTGGACCTAACGTAGCTCCACAGGTACAGGTGGAGCTGCCCCTGCAGAGTGAGAGAGACCTGAGGGTCCCGCCTCCTGGGGGTCCCAGGCTGCTCCCTCCCCCAGCCATTCACATGCAGACCAGCGGGAGCCACAGTGGGCAACGGGGAGCTGGACAAGCCTCCAGTTTGTCTGTTGCGCTTCCTTTTAGGAACTAGGGATTTTTCCTGCTTTACCAAGGTCTAAAGGACAAACACTGGGTGTGTTCCGGGGTGCACCGTGAGGACTGGATTCCCGTGTCTGCCGTGAGAGGGTCACCAGCAGCGCTCACACCCCCATGCCCCTCGCCTCAGAGGCATGAGGGTGAGAACACTGAGACAGCCCTCTGAGCCCGTCCCAAGGGCACCATATTCGCCGCTAGCTGCATTCACCGCTGCCACTCTTCAGTTTCTCTTCCAACATTCCCAGGAAGACTGGCGGGACAGCAGGGGAGAGAGCCGACCACTGCTGACACACTTTCACGCGCACCTTGCACAGAAAGCTCCATGCGTGGGGATGGGACGTCCTTCCAGGTCAGAGCCGACCCGTGGTGAGAACCGCCTGCTCTAGGAGCAGGTTGGTAGCACACTCCCGTTAGGTGCAGCCGTCTCCTCCCAATGAGAAGTCCACGTGGAACTGGGAGAATGGCAGGGAGGAGCCACACACGGCAGCACGCGGAGCCCCAGCAGGAGTCCCATGTCCTGCGTGTGCTGGCAGGCCTGGGGCACTGCTGCGGCTGGAGCCGGAGAGAGAGCCCTCCTTCCACCAAGAGCCTTCCTTCCCTCTCCTGAAGGGGGAGGAGGCAGCCCTTCTGGGGAAATGAGGCAGTGCTGCACCGGCTGCAGAGCCCAGGAGACATGGCGTCGGAAGAGACCACGCCTGGATCTCCCTGCCCACTCATTCAACCCAGAACAGGAACCCGGGGAGCGGCAGCACACCAAGGTGCCACGGCACCTGGAGAGGCCCACAGAGACGAGCACCGCGGGCTGGAGCTCTGACCCTCACACTCAGGCAGCCACCAACTGCCCTTGAACCCACCTCCACGAATCAACAGGAGATAGAGAGAGAGTCTCAGCTTAAAACCACAGTGAGATGTCACCAAAGAGGAAGAAGAGGAAGATGACGGGGCCAACAGCCAGGCAAGGACAGAAGCCCTTGCTCCCGCCCGCGTGAGCGCCCACAGGAAGGGCCGCGGGGAAGCTGCTGGGCACCTTGAAAGAGCATCAGCAGAACTACTCTGTGAACCAGGGCCCGGGTCCAGGGGAGAGACGGCCACACCTCCGCCCAGCACTGCCCGTGCACCACGCCCACACGTGCAACCTGCCCACGTCCACCGGGAGATGGATGGGTAAAGAACTCGGCAGGCCCCACGCAGCCTTGAGGGGAAGGGCAGCCGGCTGTGCGAGACGCCAGTGCAAGAAGCCACACCCGTTCTCACTTGTGCGTGGGTGAGGAAGTCGCGCTCAGGGGAGCAGATGCACAGTGACGGTGGCCACAGGCTGGGGCGGGGGAGACGCTGGCCAAGGGAGACGCGGCCTCTATTAAATAGGAGGAGCCCCTTCGAGAGGTCTAGGGGGCAACCTGGCAACTCGGCTGGCAGAAGGTCGTGTGTTTGAAAATCACTGAGAGCAGATCTTCAGAGATCTCCCCGCAAAAAAGGTGGGTACCCCACAAGGTGATGCCTGTGGGGTGGCCTGGGCAGCCATTCTGCAGGTGTCCCTACGCCACAGCAGCCCACTGAACACCGTGAATGTGGCACGGCTTTAACTTGTCAATCGACAGACCCACATGGAAAATAAAGCAAACCCAAGTGCTCACGTGTGACAAAAGACTTTAAAGGCAGCTTGTCTTAAAGCCACACAGTGACCCCCAACTTCACATTTTAAGCAGCTTCTGGGCTTTCCACCGCGGCCCTTGGCCTTCGTCTGCGAGCACAGGGGTTTGAAGGCAGTCTCGCGGGCCCTGCCATGGACCTCCCACCCTGCTGTGTGACGCTGGACCACGAGGACAGCCCTTCTGAGGCCAGGCTCATCCTCAAGACGGGGACAGAGCTGGCTGGTCACCCCTTGCCCAGGCAGAGCTGCCGCTTCCCAGGGCCAGAGCCGCTCACCGCACTGGTTCTCGTCCTCGCCGTTCGGGCAGTGCGCGATGCCATCACACCAGAAGGAGGGGCTGACGCAGGTCCCCGAGGAGCCACACTCCATCTCGTACGCGGAGCACTTGTTCTCCACTAGCAGAGGAAACAGAGGCGCGAAGGAGACCGTCAGCTGAGGACCAAGGGGACCTCACGGAGCCCCGAGGAGCGCCATCATCCACCCTGGAGCCCGTGAATAAAAAAAAGAAAAATAGCTCCCCCGATTTTTAGTAAGTAGGGAATGTGTCCTTGTCACCAGTGCACAAATGGAATTAGGGCTGGATATGGCGTGTCCACAAGGCCGATGGGTAGGAGCCTCCCAGGGGACTTCAGGGACCCACAGAGCCCCCCATGTCCCCACTGCCCCAGGGTAGAGGCAGAGACAGACACCCTGCTGCCCGCGGTGCAGGGCGGGAGCAGCCACTGTTACCCAGCTAACATGGTGACCAGGGTTGGCCCCAACGAGGGGGCCAGCTGTGCTCACAGAGCTGGTGCCACCTTGCTCTGGCAAATTCTAACAGTTCCTCCTGTGGTGTGTCCAAACTACAGCAATGGCCCGCGATTGCCGTGACCCACAGGCTAAGAGGAAGCCCACAGCCAGGTGGGACCCATGAGATGAGCCGCTCCCAGGACCAAACGATGAGAAGGAAGGTCCAGGCCACAGTCTCGGAGGGGCCTTGAGGCCTCCCCAGCCCAGGCAGCAGGGTCACCCTGTGCCCAGGACGGCAGGAGCCATGGCTGAGAGGTGGCAGCCGGCCCAGGGGGCTCTCTGAACTTACAGAACTTCCAGACCAGGACAGCGGCTATAACAGTGACCACAAGGAAGGTCCCGAGGGCAAGAGTGACACACAGGACTTTCCTGGCCCCTGCAGGAAAGAGAAAGCAGGACAGCTGGTGAGCACTGACCCTCCCCCTCCCCCAGCACGTCCCAGTCCTGACGCTCCTCCACCAGCACCAGGGCCACGTGGAGCCTGCCAGGCCCTCCGTCCGGCTGGAGTGGCTCAAGGTGACAGGACACACGGACCTGCCCACCGTCTGGCTGGGCCTCATCCGCCTTAAATGCACTCCGAACACCTTCATCAGCCCACGGCTGGCCGAAACCACGTGACCCAAAGCCCATTTCTAATGGAACATTGAATATCCCGTGCAGTTTATTGAACCCTGGGCAGGGGACAGCAGACAGCTTCACAGGTTTACCTTCCCACCGTCATAAGATCAAAAACCAAAGTTGGACCGAGCTCAGTCAGGGCCGCCTGACCACCCGAGGAGGGAGCCCTGCTCAGGAGCCCCACATGTGCCGGCAAGCTTTCTGCCACTAAGAGACACTCCCAGCCTAAGAAATAGTGGGTTTTATACACTTAAAAATGTGAGTTGACGTTGGAAGAACAATGTGTCTCGGGGCCTGGCTTCTTCCACAGCAAGAAACGTCCTGCTTTTTGGAGAGCAGAACCTCTGGTGAATGAAGCCCACCCAGCCTTAAAAGCTCTGCTCCCTAAAAAGGGTCTTCAACTAGGCCAATGATGAATGGGGAAATCAGAGAGGAAAAGCACCTCATTTCAGTAATCAGGAGCCCGAGCCATGTGACAGTGTCCCCCACTGTCATGGCCCCAGGAGAGGCACCCAGGGCGGAGGAACCCGTCTTCCCCAAGGCTGTTTGGAGAGCTGATCGTGTGCACCACCTCTCCCACTAGACAGCTTCCCGCTGCCTGTGGCTTCTTATGTTTTAGTTCATTAAATTTAAATGGAGTTAAATAAAAGTACGTAACTCCAAGCACTTAAGTAGTCACAGTGGCCAGTGGCTACCATACTGGACAGGGCGGGCATAGAACATCCCCATCACTACTGAAAGTGCCCATCACACAGCACCAGCTTACACCCTTGGGTCCAAGGGCAGAATACAGGCCCACTGCAGCTAAGAATAAAGTAATTTGAAGACGGTCAGCAGTTTACTCTGGACAAAACAAAAAGAGGGCATTTTTTATCGGAGGTGTGAACCAAAGTTTGCTTCAGAGTTCGGAACAGCCGGGCTCAGTGGCCCATGCCTGTAATCCCAGGGACTCTAGAAGCTGAGGCAGGAGGATCATGAGTTTAAGGCCAACCTCAGCAATTTAGCGAGGCCCTAAGCAATTCAGAGAGGACCTGTCTCTAAATAAAATATAAAAAGGGCTGGAAATGTGGTTCAGTGGTTAAGCACTTCTGGCACCAAAAAAAAAAAAAAAATCCTAACATAGTGCCAAATACCATGAAAGCACCCTGCCTCCAGACAACTGTCCCTTATGCTGGGCTAAGGAGGGTGCCCAGCCTGTCACCTCCAGCAGTTCCCATGTGGCATGCAACCTCAGACTCTGGAGCTCCCAGAAGCTTTCCTTGAAAGAAAGGTAGAGAGGTGGGAGAGATTTGATGAGAAGGTATATATTCATTCATTCATTCATTCATTCATTCATTCTGGTGCCAGGGATTGAAGCCAAGGGCACTTAACCACTGAGCCACACCCCCAGCCCTCTTTCATTTTTTTTATTTTGAGACAGGGTCTTGCTAAGTTGCTTAGAGACTCACCAAGCTGCTGAGGCTGGCTTCAAACCTTCCATCCTCCTCCGGAGCTGCTAGGATTATAGGCGTGTGCCATCGCGCCCAGCAAGAAGGCACTTAAGCAGACCCTGCCGGGCTGGTCAGGCGGTGTCCCCTGCTGCCCTCACCTATATGCTCCTGGGCTTCCAAAAGTCCGTCAGAGCAAGAAATTAAGGTTCTGGAGTTGGAGAGCCAGAGAGGCCCACCTGCTGGGGTCAAAGCCACTCCTGCCTTCTCCTCGCCACATCCTGCAGATTCTCCAAAGGCTCGCAGACAGTAACAGACTGAAGAACTTCCTGAGGACCTCGTCCCCAGTCACCAGAATTTCTGACTGACATCTGGGAAGTTGCACTCCTCACAGGTACGGCCCAACGCTGGCCTGAGAACTGCGCCCAAGCAAAGATCTAATCAAAATCTGGCTAAAGGTGGCCGTGCCTCAAGGTGGCAGGGTAGAGCCCAAAGGAAGTTCACAGGAGAAATTCCAAATGGCCTCTGGGACCCATGACCAAGGACACTCCTCTCCTTGGATGACTCCCCTGAATGCCATTGTATCTACGATAAAATAACTTGCTGAGGCTGGGGGTGTCGCTCAGTGGTCGTGGCTGCCCAGCAGGCACGAAAACAAGGCCCTGGCTTTCATCCCTGGTCTGGTGAGTCAGGGTCATCACACCAGGCGTCTTTCACCTCCCAGTGAGGGTGGCAATGCGCCAGGTCTCCCCGGGGACCCGAGCACAGTCGGAAGCCTCAGCTTTACCTCTGGATGGGGATTTGCCCCAGTGCGAGGTCAGCTAGACTCGCCTGGGTCCTGGTTTGCGAAGGCTGCTGCGGAAGGGTTCCCGGACCTACCATTCACCTGCATTAATCATTATCGAGTGGCCTGTGGCTGGCCCTGCCCTGCAGCTTCCAGAGTCAACTATTTGCATCACAGGATTGTTGACCTTTGATTTTCCAAACAGTCTTTCAGATGTATACGTGCTGCTGTGCCAATGGAAACTGCTGCTAGAACAATACGTGTGTGTGTGTGTGTGTGTGTGTGTGTGTGTGTGTGGTGCTGGGGACTGAACCCAGGGCCTTGTGCAGGTGAGGCAAGTACTCTACCAGCTGAGCTCTCTATCCTCAGCCCAAAAAAACAAAAACAAAGTTCTATGCTCTCCAGATGGGGTACTTCTGGGTTACTACTTAAATCACTTGGAAAACAGTCTCAAAGCTGAAGATGACACTTGCAAAATGCATATCATCTCTTGGGTTATATGTAATCGCATGTTCTTTAAAATAAAACCAAGGTGAGTTCAATAAATAATACGTAAAAATTTTAAAGGAAGAAAATCACCTTGCCTGCACAAGGCCCTGGGTTCAGTCCCCAGCACCACAAAAAGAAAAAAAGAAAGAAAATTACTAAATTGTTCTTGAGTCTATGGGGCACAGATGGGGTATTTCTATAAATACATACACGTAAAGAGGTAACCTGCTCCTGTCCCTTTCTGCCACCCCCTGGGCTCTCCCTTGGAAAGTGAGAGTATTTGGCCTCTGCCCTCCTGGCCGACCGCTGTTGGTGTGAGACCACCTTTGGAGGTGCTGACCGGGCTCACCCGCAGCCCGATGGCTGGTGTGTGTCTGTGTGTGTTACTGGGGGTCACACCAGGGACAGGGCCTCCGTAAGTGGCCCAGGCTGGGCTTGAACTCATGATCCTCCTGCCTCAGCCCCCAAGTAGCTGGGGTCACAAGCACCACGGCACCTGGTGCCCCTCGACCCTTGACAGTCAGCAGGTTCGACCGAGGTCCCCAGTCCTCTTCACCCTGGCTTCCTTCCAACCCCCACGACGGGCACCCCACCTGGGCACTGTCCACCTCGGCACAACTGACACCGTGGCCTGGTGGCCTTTCTCTTGGGGACCCTCCTACCCACCGCAGGTGTTCAGCAGCAGCACAGCACCAACCCTCGATGCCAGTAGTGCCCCCTCCCTACTTTAACGACCCAAACTCTGCAACACTGTCGACTGCCTCTGAGGGCCAAGGTCACCCCTGTTTGAGAACCACTGGTCTCGACATACCCAACCCCCTCCAGAAGACCTCGGGCAGCGAGGGCAGAGGGGCACAGGGTAGGCGTGGTAGGGGAGGGATGCCAGGCTGAACAGGGCAGAGCTGGAGGGAGGGAAAGACACAGGGTGAGGGGTGACTGAGGCCAGCGGGGGGGGGGGGCAGAGTGACAGGTCTGGACCGGAGCTGGAAGGCCTGGGAGGGCAGGCAGGGCTCCCTGAACTGAAGGGGGTGGTGTTGCCCCCGATCCTGTGCAGGTGGCATGGAAGTCCATCCATTATCTCCCTTTCACTCTGCGTGCTGTACAGACAGGGATGCCTACGCCAAAACCAGAAACAGGCTCCACCCAAAAGCTTCCCCCTAGAGCTTCCTCTGCACTGTCCAGCTGGGCAGGCTCCAGCCCTAGGTCCAGGAGGGAAAGGTGAGGAGAGACTCCAGACACTGAAATGGCAAGAGCAGAGAAGACGGCCCGCCACCCCACCCCCCTCTGCCCTCCGCCCCCGGGCACTGGGACTTGAGGCCAGGAGAGGAGGTGGGGTGTGGTGGAGCTCCTGCTCACCCCACCCCCACCCCCAGGTCACTTTCCCTGAACACCAAGTCATAGGTGTCTTGACCTTGACCTGCTGTCCTCGAGTCTCACCCTGGGGAGCCACCATTTTATCAAAAGGACACATCAATAAACCTGAGGCCAGAATCAGGAGAAGCTGGTTGGGAAAGACCCTGAGGCAGGGCCCGGGGGGGTGGCAGTTGCACAGGTGGCAGGGAGACCTGGAGTGCACAGCACTGAGCGGCAGGACAGGGCAAGGAGGGTGGCTGGTGGCGGAGGCGTGACAGCCTGCTAAGAAGGCAGAAAAATGCAAAAAGGGTCCTACTTGTGGTACACACTGTCCCCGGAGGGGGCTTGGGCTGCCGGTAGATCCCAGGTGTCGAAGTGTGCGTGGGGACCCTGGAGGTGTACTGGGGCACCGGGGACGGGCAGTACTGAGCTGGATACGCAGCGTAGACATTGGGAGCCACGGCCGGCTGCGATGGGTAGAGGGCTTCGGGCTGGTATCCGTGGTTCTCATAGTAAGGCCCGACGCCGGGGGACGGCCCCTGAACAAGTGAAAAGAAAAATGACATAAAGCTGTCACTGGCCCTAAAGGGCTGAGTACACGCCTCAGGCCCCAGGCCCAGGGCCCTGCAAGGCCACGCAGACATGCCCGGTGTCTATGATTACACCAGTTTACTTAGAAAACCAGATGCCAATTCCAAACTAACCATCCTCAGCTGTCAACGTTGTTTTGTTTACTATTTATTTTGCAATAAAGAAAAGGTGGCTGACATTTACAGAACAAAATGTACAGAAGTGTGGGATTAGAACCCATGGGACCCACATCCTCGACCTGTGGTTCCTCGGGGCCTCTCCTTGAGCGTGGAGCTGCGGCATTAGGAACCGGTGATAATCATCTTTGGTTTAATCATCTTGGGTTTGAGAGCTCGCCTGCTGCCAGGCCTCGGGACCCATCACCTCTTTGAAACCTGGGCACCAAGCCCCGGGGGGCAGGGCACAAGCTCCACTCTGCACACCCCTTGCAGAACAGGGTTGGAGTGGACAGAGCTGCCCAGAGGCAACCTCTGCTGGTGACTCTGGGGCTCCTCTTCTGCCCTCCCCTCCTGCAGAGCTGCCCGCTTCCTACCACCTCCCCAGGCAGCCTAGAGCTGCACCGCACCCTCCAGCCGCCCTGCAGCAGAAGCTCTGGTGCCGGTGTGCACAGGCACAAATGCCAAGGAACGGCCCAGACACACCACGAGTTTCTGGCTCCTTCCTTCAGCTGGTGTCTCTCTTCTCAGAAAAACTTCTCTTTCCCCTGTCCCCACTTCAAAGCCACCTCCTCAAGACCCACCTCACACAGGGCACACGGGACCCCACAGCCTGCTTCTCCTCTTCCTTCAACTCCCTCTAGTGCTGATGGCTGGGCCTCTCCTTGGATGCCACCTTTGTCCTCTTGTCTGTGTCCCAAGGTCCCCAACTCCTGCCCCTTGTCACTTTGGGCCACAGAATAGCAGAGGGGTTGTCCTCCAAGGACAGGTGTCCTCAGCAGAGGCCACTGAAGGCTTAGGACTTTAAATGGGGCCTTCAGGGAACGTGAGTGTAAGCACAGGAGCAGATGCCACTCCCAGTTAACCTATGCTTAGTACCCACTAAAGCCACCTACAAAGGTCCAAAGATTGTCACTCCACCCAGAGCAGTGACAGAGATGGAGAGACAGGCCATCCCTAACCTAAATGCGGGCACCAGAGGCATGGAAATCAGCCAAGAGCAGCTGGCCTCAGCCCCAACCATTGAACATGCCACTCCACCCAGGGGGGTGCATGTCACAGAGCACTTAGTCCAGGAGGATTCCAGTGCAGTGGGTCTGACACTAAAAAGGGATCCAATAAAAAAGTAAATACCAGTAACCAGGAGTCAATAAAGGGGGATACACCAATAAAGGTATATTTCCCTAGAGGATTCAGATTTTTTTTTTTTTTTTTGGGTACCAGGGTTGGAACCCAGGGGCACTTAACCACTGAGCCACATCTCCAGCCCTTTTTTATATTTTATTTAGAGACAGGGTCTCACTGATTTGCTTAGATTTGCTAAATTGCTGAAGCTGGCTTTGAACTTGTGATCCTCCTGCATCAGCCTCACAAGCTACTGGGATTACAGGAGTGTACTACCGCACCTGGCTCAGAAAAATATTTCCACTAACCCTAATGTCTTTGCTAAATGCACTTATTTCAGGCATAATAGGAACCCGTGAGATCTGCTGGGAACAGAGACAGGGGAAGAGTTTCCCAGGGCCAGGAGAGGGACAGTCCACCCAGCACCTCACTCCTACACAAGTGTCTCTGGGGCACCAGGAAGCTCTCTTCCCAGGACTCACCTGCTGGCCCACCCTGCTCACCTGTCTACACACCTGCCCCCCCCACCAACTGTGAAGGCAGGAAGTGGGGAGGTCAAAGCCAGGGTGCGCACCTGGGCTCCTACCAGCAGCAAAGGCTTTCCAGACCCCTCTGGCAGCTCTGGGCTCTGCCCCAACTCAGCCTTTCTAGACAAGGCCTTGAAAGCCCTGCACACAGCCACGGGGGCCCGCAGGCAGCCCTGAAAAGCGCTGACCCACACCTGCTCTTGGGAACAGCAGGAGGAGGGAGGACCAGGAAAGGGCCAGAGAGGTAATGATTAACCACTTACTGAGTTTAAAGCCATCCTGATTTTATCAACAGCATTGGGTAAGGGTAGGCATCTGGAGCGTTCAAGACGACCTGGAAGAAAAAATTACAAGACCGTAACGCCTCCATACAGGTTAGTTTTCAGAAGATAAATCTAGAGAAAAACTGGAAGACTCTGGCAAAAGGAACCTCCTGCCAGAACAAACTGAAGTTCTGCCCATTGACCTTGATCCCTGACCTTCACCCTCCTCTCCAAACACAGCAAGTGGATGCAGAGGCTCAGGGAACCAGGGTCCCCCTCTGGGATGCGGACATGCCCTTGGGGCCAGCGGGTGCAGGGCAGGCCAGCAGCTTAACACTGCAGCCCAGAAAGGGTGACCTTGAAGAGGGAGGGACAGACTGAAGGACCCGGAGGGAAGGCCTCTCGGGCCTCCAAGCCCTACTGAACTCACATGGCTCCCTGCCGGGGACCATGACCTTGCCCTCATGTCACACCTACCCAAAGAAGAACCCGGGGAATAAAAACAGGTAGGAATCACCACAAGGAAACTTCTAGAGCCATCAAGACCAGCAGAGGTTAGGGCAGACCCAGGAGGAGAAGACCCCGGCAGCTCTCGGCAGAGTCACTTCCGGAGGCGCTGGTGACTGAACCTGGCTGAAATCTCAGTGCCTCCTCCCCACACCGTTAGGTCGTGGGTTCAGAGCAGACTTGTGGGCACTTGCCCGTGTCAGGCATGGCACCAGGGGACAGGGGTGCCATCAGCTCCGCCCTCCTCCAGGACACCCATGGGTGCCTGCCTGGGGCCAGCTGCCATGGAGCAGGTGGTCCCGCCTAGTGCCACAGGCAGGCCACGTCTGATGTCTCTAAGTGACAGAGGCCCTCCCAAGGTTTAATAAGTAGATCCGTCTAACACATCCACTAACACATCCACTCCAGTTACTGCCCCAGATCAAAAAAGAAAGAAACTGGAAGCTAGCTAATTTGACCAAATTCAAGATTAGTGAAGGTGAGAGAAAGCTGTGGTCATTTCATGTGTAGCCTTGAGATGCCGTCGGCATAAAATTCTCCATTCTCCTTCAGTCTCCACGGACACAGATTCTTTGCCTAAACCACCTTTACCAGGCTCCCGAACTCCAGTGCACTTCCCGGTAAAATGTGGTTTTAGCCGAGAACCCGGCTAAGTCAGGCTATCAGGAACCCCACCTTGGATACCATCACTCTGGACACCAGAGCGCTTTCTTATCCTCCACATCCCAGAGCGTGTCTGGTCAGCCGGGCCTGCCTCCAGCAAGAAGCCTGTCGGGTCAGTTCAGCCAGAACCCCGCTCACCTGAAGTCTCGTCTCCTCTTAGTGACTTTCCTGCTAGGATCCAGTCTGCTTCTGGGCTGTAAGTTCCCACTTCCCCTTGTGCTGGGAAAGAACCCAATGTTCCCCCCCCCCACTGCAAGGCCCCTGCCCTTCCCCTGCTCTATCGAAGTGTCCTGACTCAAGCCCTCCTCGTCCTGATTTGACGAAGATCCTAAATCACTTTCTTTTAACACCCTGTTCAGTGAGGGCTTTTCTCTACTCTCCAGCTGGGCAAGATGGCCAGAGAATATTCTCTGAAACCATCTTTGGGATCATCCTTCCGTAAGACAGTGCTCTGAATGAGGGTACAGGAGCCTGGAGCAGGTCTGGGCTTTGCTGGCCACATCAGAGGCTGAATGTTTTCACCTATAAGAGCCTGGCTCTGGGTAGGTACGCAAACAGTGCAGGTGGCTCGTGTAGGTAGCCCATGACCTCTGGGACTAGACCCTCTGGATCCAAACCTAGCTCAGCCCCTCTCTAGCTATGAACCAGAGCAAGCTAGTTCATGGTCCTATACCTTGGTTCTCTCCCCTGCAAGTTAGGTGAGAGCAGTACCTACGGCATAGTAGGTAGGTCCCTGGGAAGTTCACACTAACCAGTCAGCGTGCTACATCAGTCTTTGTTAAAAATGACCACAGAGCCGGTGTAGTTGCCTGTAATCCCAGCAGCTTGGGAAGCTGAGGCAGGAGGATCACAGGTTCAAAGTCAACCTCAGCAACTCAACAAGGACTTTAGTAACTTAGCAAGACCCTGTCTCGACATAAAATATAAAAAGGGGCTGGGGATGTGGCCCAGTGGTAAAGCGCCCCTGGGTTCAATCTCCAGTACAAAAAAAAACAAAAACAAAAACAAAAACTGCTGTTTTGTGGCATTTAGAATTTGCTTTTGATAAGTATCCCAAGCTAGTGGGTGACACAAAGCCCACCCAGTCTCAATTCACTGGAGCCAAATGCAGTGGACATCACTGCCTTCCCATCTCCTGGGCAAATCACCATCTGATCATCAAACAAGAAAAAAGAAAGGCCGAGACCTCTGATGGATGAAAATATGAGAGTCACTTCGAACAGGTCACAGCAAAAATGCACCAGCTCACTTATTTACTCTACATGAAGGGCCAGATCTTGTCAAGAGCAGAAAAATGTTTTTCAAGATTAAAAAGACAAAGTCAAGCCCTTCCTGGGTATGAGCAGAGAAAACCGGCGAAGGTGCAGGCTGCGGCACGGAAGGCTTTTCAACAGGTGGGCTGTCACTTCAACACGGCTTCCCGAGTCCCCGAGGTGGAGGACCCTGAGGCGGCTCCGGGCACCATGACCAATCCTGCACCCCTGCCTAGGAAGCAGAATGAACTCGGCCCTTGCTAAGGTTCCTTTCAAAACAGTCCTGCCTAAGCAAACACGCGCCCGCCGGGCTCTGGTTTCCCGGCTCCCTGGCAGCCCCGCCCGCCCGCTGGGCTGTCTCGCCAGCCCTGGGATTGGTTGAGGTTTCAGGAAATGAGAATCTGATCGCGCTGGCGGCTTTCCCAGTTTAGGAGTCCTGTGAAAGGAAGGTGAGTCAATGCCCCAAATCCACACTCGCTATTCATTAGCGATCCCTAACAGTGGGAGAAAGAAGCCGGGAAAGGAAGGGACACTGGGAGCCAAGTGGTCTCATTAAAGCCACAGGACACAGAACAACGGGAGAATCCTACCTCACCTAGGGATCCCGCCACCCAGGACACTGGAGCCAGCAGCGTGAAGTGCGCCCGGCTCGGTTTGGCCATGGTGGACTTTGGAATAGAAGACCAGAGCGCTACCCGCCACCTCCTGCCGAGGAGGAAGAAGGGGAGCCCTGTGCCTGCTCCAGAGAAGTGGATCTGAAAGGGAGCGAGCTTCCCAGCTTCCCGAGAGACCCAGGGGCCGCATCCATCCGCTCACCCTCAGAACGGGCTCCATTTCCACAGCCGCAGGAGATTACAAATCGCATAAACCCCTTTCTGAAAGGAGCAGGATACACCCCAGGTGACAAGAGACAACCTGTTTAGCAGTCTTTCCTTCACTGAAAAGACAAGGGCCATTGTTCTCTATTCTGGAAAGCCAGCTCTCACGAGCACTTTGGGAAATTCTCCCTTAAGTGCAAGAGAGCAAATGAGGACAAAGGTCCCGACCCCCTCCTCGCTGGCAGCCAGTCCACTGCCTCCCAACCAAGCAGCTGCCTCCTGCTACTCAGACCCACTGCAGTGTCCCTTCAGGGAGCCGAGGCACCTGCAGCACCTCTGCCCCACCTCGCACCTGGACAGTGCTGCAGGATCCGACCTGCACCCCACGGCAGGCCAAAGCTGTTTCTAAAGGAGAACAGGTTCGTCTTATAGTTTCCGTCCTCTGCAGAGTTAGGAGCACGTTTGCTGGAGATTTATTTTAAAAAACCACCCAAAGCAAATGCAATCAGGTCCATGGGTGCTGACTCGGACCCAGGGTCAGGGGTGGTCCCTGCAGATCACTACCCTCACTACACGCCACCCCGCACCTGTGCCAGCACAAGTCCCCACAGTGTGCTGGGTACTGCCCAAGTTGCTAGAGGTGTGAGGGGTGCCACATCAACGGACACTCCACAGCCAATGAACAAATATGGAAGAGGATCCCTTATATCAAAACCGAGGCACTAAAATCACACCCAAGATGCTCTCTGCTCTGGGATGTCCCGCTAGCGGGAGGCTGGGCAACAGCAGTGGGATTCAGTAACAGTCAGCATGAACCAGCGTGAGCACATCAGGCGGAGCGCGAACAGCGGCTGACAAGGAATTCTACGGGTGGAGGGCAAGTGAGGTGTTGGGAAGAGGCTGCCGGCACCATCGAGTTTCCCTCCACGACTGCCCCGTTGTCCTAAGGAGGCTACTGGCTTTTTAGAGTGGGTATCGGGTCTGGTCCTCTTTTAAAAAAGCTAGTTTTATACCATACAAAGAACATGTTCGAATATCTTTGAGATCCAAAGGCTAAATGAATATGGTGACATTGAGCACAGTGAGATGGGAGCCAGCACCTGGACATCACCCGCCTCCAAGCCAGGGACCTCAGGGGGTCCACAGTGTCCGTGTGCGCAAGAGCTGTGTGTGGGACTAACAGGACAGGTGGGTCTCCAGGCCACTCCAAGAGGAGGTGTCCAGGCCACCAGCCCAGGTAAAAGAACACACCCAAGTCCATCTGCATGACGGGGATGATAGCTGAACAGGGTGTGGCAAGGATTAAGTGGCAAAGCCATCCCTGGATCAACGTGGGAGGAGCCACGGTGACAACATGAGGGTTATCCTCCATAACCAAGGATCTGCTAAAGCAGAAGGGACTTAATGTAGTCTCTGTCCCTCCAAGGCCCTACCAGGATCAATGGTCAGGATAGTCCCCAAAGCAGCACTGACTCCATTTGGGGAAACCAAGTTTCCAACAGTTGTAAAGCTCAAGGACTGTGGCTACCTGGGAAAGAAGAGAATTCCACAAACCTGGAAACATGGACCCAAGACTAGCAGGTCATGTCTCTGGCATATTCTAGAACAGAACCGGGCTTCAGCTGCAAGGCCAGATGCGATGACCTTCTCTAGTTGCTCCTGGGCCTGTAATCCCGCTACTTGGGAGGTTAAGGCAAGAGGATCTTGAGGATGAGGCCAGCCTAGACAACATGGTGAGACCCCATCTCAAAAACAAGAAACAAAATAAGCTAGAGATGCCCCAACCTGTTATAAATGTATTACCACCAGCAGACTTGAACTTGTCACCACGCAGCTCCGTGGACAGAATTCTGCAGAACAATCTCCAAAACACCTCCTGTGTCCAATGACAGATCTGGGGCTGACCCCAAGGCTGCATGGCTGTGAGCTCTGATCTGCACCCTTCCTTCCAGGGTGGCCTCTTGGGAAGCAATGGCCTTAGAGGAAGTTTGACACAGGGCCTCACATCTCAGGCAAACAAGCAATAATAAAGCCCGGCTCCTCTCATCCGCCAGACGAGTGGTCACTTGTAAACATGCCAACACAGTCTGCTCCGCCACAGGGGCCTCTCTCCTCAGTCCCACCAGAGCTCCCGAATCTCCCACCTCCACTGCCCTCACCTGAACGTCCAAGGCCACAAGCACCGAGCGCCCTTGGAGCACTTCATCCCCCTTTCTACACCTCTGTCCCCCGCCCCTCCTGACCACCCCCTGGTGCCTGAGGGCTCAAGTGTGGACACAGTGCCCAGAGTTCCCATCCCTTCCCCAGACTCGCCTCAGTTAAGAGCAGAGGGCACGCCTTTGGGTCACCTGCCCTCTTCAAAGTCCACACTGTGCACTTTGTGCCTAGACCCTGCCCCGAAAGCCATCACTCCTCCTCCCAGGAGGCCTCTGCTGACCACTGAGAAGCCTTCCACATGTCACGGCCCTGCTCCTGCCAGTGCCCACAGGCCACTGGGAAAGCCAAGCCCCCCAGGTTCGGCTCTGCTTCCTCTCGGCCCTCCAGCGCCACGCCCGGTCACCCCACAGGGCTTCCGGTGTGAACGGACCACACGTCTCCCCAGGAACCCAAGGGCTGCTTCTGAACAGTGCCCGCTGGCACAAGGGACTTCACAAGCCAGCCTCCTTCAACCCCAGGCCCACGACACCTGGGAGCCGTGAGTCAGGACTTCCCCAGGTCAACCTTGAAGCCTGGCCCAAACCAGACGTCAGCTCTCAGAACCTCCTGCACCCCAATCCTCAAAGACCACCAGACTCACCCTGGGGCCAGCCCCATGTTGGAGGGTCCCTGGTAGGTACTGGGAAGTAAGGAGGGGCCAGGAAAGCAGGCCACGCACGAACCTCCAAGGACACATGGACTGGGGGAGGGCACAAGATGGGGCAGCCCCCACCAGGGCTCTCTGGCCGCCTGCAGGGAGCTCCCCAGGCCTGGGTCCTCCTCCACCCTCCCCAGCAACAGGGCCAGTTTCCAACTCTCAGTCAGGGGACCTGACCAGCCACTCGGCTGACCAGCCACCTTTCCTTTCTACCTCAATGCCCAAGGCTTAGCCTCCTCAGTGCTCCCTGGACCACGGGATTTCTGAAGGGCTTAAATAAAGATAAAGATCAGTGGGTGCCACTCCCAGGGTCTGGGGCGCAGCAGTCGGGACAGAGGAATGACACCATAGAATGATTGTTTTTTATATTTATATGTGGTTATCAATTCCTTATTAATGACTGTTTTTCCCAGGTGGTGCTGAGGGTCAAACCCTGTGCCACACACCTGCTAGGCAAGTGCCCTACAGCACAGCCCCAGCCCCAGCCCTGACGCCACAGTGTTATAAAGCTCCCAGGACTCCTGCCGCGGCTCAGAGGGGACAGAGGGAGCCAGAGCCTGGTTCCCACTTCCTGGCAGCCCCCAGCCCCAAGCTGGGCCCAGAGTAGGGTGGCACCCTTACATGATGGTGGCGGCTCTGGCAAAACGCACCGTGGGTACCCAGGCTTCACCATGGAGAGTCCTTCACCTTTGGCAGGACGTGTGCACTGTGCTGTCACTCATGACCCCATCGCCCAGGAGTCAGTCTGCCACCACCCCCTGAGAAGTCCCAGCCCCCCTTGCCCACAGGGCACCACTGCCCGGTGGTGCAGAGCCCAGGCGGGACTGCAGGCAGGCGGCTGGGAGGTCAGGGAGATGCACACCTGACCCCAGAGCAGCCCCCTCTGGTATCTGGATTCCTTGGTCCTCATTCTCAGTTTCCTTCTCTCCTTTCCTCCACCTCTGTGACATTAAAACCTCGGTACTAAGGACAGTGGAGTGAATAGGACGTCACTTCCCTATGTTCACACAAGACTACACGACCAGCGTTGCTCACACCATGCACAACCACAAGAATGGGAAGTTACACTCCCTGTGTGTATACTCTGCCGAAATATACTCTACTGTCATGCATAACCAAAAAGAATAAATAAAAATTTAAAAAAAGAAAAGCACCTCAGCACTGAGAGAGGAAGAGAGAATCAACACCCTGTGCCAAAGCCGTGTCTCCAACTCAGAACCTGTTCATAATGAGAGCCAGATGGCCCCTACTCTGCCCCACTTCTGCCCCTTCTGGGTCACAGCATCTTGGGCAACTTACCTAACCTCTCTGCCTCAGTTTCCCTATAATTGAGTTAAATATGTCATAAAGAGCTGGCGATGGATGATGCCTCACTGGAACAAAGAGTGTCACACCAACATCTACACCTATCGTTATAATGCTCGTGGTGCCCAACTTACTCTTTTGATCTGGGCAACTGTGTACAGGGCCCAGCACCCAACAGTGCCAGGCAGCCCAGGGTGAGCAAACTCCGGGAATCTGTGTTTGGTGCCAGCATTAGCACAGTCTTGTTAAAAGGCTGACTTGGGTGCATGAGTTAAAGGAAAGTTGCTCAGGACCAAATGTTGGAGCTGGGAACAGAGGTCCAGCAAGCTCTTATTTAAATACAGAGCCTGCAGTGTGGACCCACAGGTGTAGGGACAGAGTGCCAGCCCGTGAGGCCAGCCCCTCCACTGGAGTGCTGAATTTTCTTCCCTAGAGGTGCCCTTGAGTTTCATTCTGTTCATCAAGGCTACTGGGAGGAAGGAGGCAGGGTGAGGCAGGGTGAGCCTCCTGAAGAGGCACAGTGAGGGCTGAGAGCCCCAGCAGCCTCAGTGACCTCCTGGGGACTCCCTCTCCCAGGGCCCACCTGAGCCTCTTTGGCCTCACTGCACTAAGCAGTTAGTGTCCCTGTAAACTCTGCCGGCCCCTCCTAGCCCCACCCTTCCGGCAAGGGAAGCCGCTCCATTCTCACTTCCTGGAGGCCCCTGCCCACCTGCTGGGATGGGTCAACAACCCCCACCTCACTTTAGGTTTTCCTGGTAACTCCTCTGGAAGCCTGGGTAACTTTCCACTCTTTGTGTAGCTCTTGGGCAGATGGGGAGCTCAGGGCTACAGCAGGGGGTGGGGGGATGTGCTCCTGGATTTAACCCCAGAACTAAGGCACAGCTTGCTTGGTGGGCTGAAGCAACCTCCAAGCCGGCCCTGGATGACTCCTGCCTACCAGGCCCACCTGGGGCTGCCAGCTAGCCTTCCCTGCTAAGGGGACACCAGGATTCCTGAGGACCAGGATTCAGGCCACAGCACTGAGTCCCAGCACGGGGTGGACAGGTGCTCCCCTCTGCCTGCAGCAGGCACAAGCCGGCACTGGAGGCCACCTGCAACCAGGACCTCTGGGGCGTGGACTCACAAACTTTTGGCCTCGGGGCAGTTCTTCAACTTGGCCAGCGCATTCTCGGGCAGGGTACCCCCTGTCAGGCAGGCGCATTCGGCCACCCTGCCACCGGCCTGAGTCCCGCCAGACGGGATGCAGTGGACGGAAACTCCCAGGTGCTGGGCAGGGAGTGCCCGCCCTGGGGCCAGCCGGCTTTTCCCG